CCTTATATTGTTTCGTGCTTATCGTAATTCTTCAACCAGAAAAATAAAGCAAGATAATTATTCTCTCTTTAAAAAGCAGTTTGATAGTTGGGCACATTTTGAGAAAGAATTTAGAAATTGGTGCATTAATTGTTATCAACCAATGAATATAAAACGTTCTTCAATGAAATATAGTGAAAAAATAACGAGGGAATCATTTAACTATGTTCAATACCAAAATGTAATGTATGTATGTCATTATAGATGTCCTGTTCGAAGACATATAAAAGATGAATCAAGATCAAACCAAGAATCGGCTCGATTATATTGTGAATTTATTCTCTTTCTCGTAGAGAAGAGTCTTGTGCGAATAAATTGTTTGTTTGCTTACTTGTATGTCCGCACTTCAGTGATTGGTCCAAAAGAAGGTGAAGACAAAAAGGATTATTTTCCATAAAGCTTGACCGAAGGGTAATCGGGGATGAGGAGTTCGGATCTGAGGTTAGTTTTAACTGATTATTAACTAATTATTGATTATTAATTAATTAATAATTAATATTTTTAATAAAACTTGACCAAAGGGTAATCGAGGATGAGGAGTTCGAATCTAAGACTAGTTTTAACTGATTATTAATTAATTATTAACTATTCATTAATTATTAATGTTTTCTATAAAACTTGACCAACGTTTTTTGAAGATAAGGAATCCAAATCTGAGCTCAGTTTTAGCTAACTTATTACTAATTAATTATTAGCTAAATATTAATTGATTATAAGTTATTATTATTTTTCGTAAAACTTCACTGTGGGTTATTGAAGGTAAAGAATTCAAATCTGATATCAGTTTTAATTAATTAATTAATAATTAGTTATTAACTAATTATTAATCATTATTATTTTAAATAAAAATTCACCATAGATAATCAACGATGAAGAGTCTAAATCTGTGATCCGTTTCCATTAATTAACTATTCATTAATTAATTAATAGTTATTAGTTTATTGTATAAGGCTTCATCAAAAGTAATCAAGAACGAGTGATTTGATTACGGGCTCGATTGGAATGATTCAATGATTTAGAGAGCAGGGATATGAGTGAGCCAGAGATGAATAACATATGTATACTAAATGAATAATTTGCTGATAATAAGAAAATAGTTCTTTTACGAGAAAGAGCTAAGCGAGTCCATAGACGAGCGTTACTTGTTTTAAAACGCTATACGGAATTAAATAAAATTGTTTTTATGAAAAATCAAAATTTAACTCATAACGATCCAAAAATGAGGAAGTTTATAAGAATTATTCAGTTTAAACAGATAAAGCATTAGAGATAGAGATGTTCCATCTTTAATGTTTTATGATCAGATATCTTTTACGTGATCATTATGTTAAATGTACTGAAAATAATGAAATTTAATTGTTTCGTTTAAAACCAAAGAGAGAAAGCACTAGATATGCTGTTGAGTTGTTGATCTTTATTTGACTTATACTTTATTTGTATGTAATAAAGAATTACTAAAATTATGAAAAAGCTTAAATATTTAATATATATAAATCAACAAAAACATATAATAGTATAATATGACTTCATATTTACTAATATATTGGTTATATCTACCTGTGTGTACATAACCAAAGGGCTATATACACATATGTGTATATAGTCAGTCAGCTATATACACTTGTGTGTACATAGCCACTTGGCTATGTACACATATGTGTACATAGTCACTTCCAATATTTTAACTACTGCCCATTGCAAAAAAGAAGGCGGGTGGATATTTTTTGAATAGCTTTTGATAGGAACAAGATAGAGAGCTGCGATTTTCACCGTTGAAAAGAGTAGACGAAAACACATCGAACCATATAAGACGATGACTTGTAATTTGGATTTTTGAAACCTTTTCCAATAGTTGAACAAAGAAATGTCTTAAAAATAGGTCTGATTTGTCCACGAAAAGCGAAAAAACTCGAAAAAATTGAGTTTTTTTTTTACAGAAATTGCTGGCAAAGTGGACTAGAATTGTCGAACATAGTACCTAGAACTCTCAAGCCAGTAAAGCTCTGAAACAAGCGTTATATATAGTTTTGTAGCTCTTGAGCTGGCAATTCTAGCGCACTCCTCAAAGTTTAAGATTTGTTTTACTTTCATAGAGCAATAGTCTACTCTTTCAAGATGGCAATGGATCACAACCTATTTTTGATATAAACCTTAACAATTTTATACGAATCGATGCGCTGAATCAGCCTCTTTCCAAGGGTGAAAATCGCAGCGCTCTATCTTGTTCTTATCAAAAGTTATTCACAAAATACCCACCCGCCTTCTTTTTTTGGAATGGGGAGTAGTACTACATGCCATCGACAATTTTTCTATCGTTGTTCGGACATTGGAACTATCATTCATATGTTTGCGAACCTATACCTTTACCAGACTAGATATGCTACAAAACTTGTAAGCCTATTGGGTATACCGCTATACTAATATCCTTTGCATATAATATTCAATCTATACTACTCTGAGTAATGTAGAGAAGGCAACAAGTTGAAAAATCTGGACTCAAACTTACGATCACTATAAGTTTCTTCGAAAATATAAGTGAGCTATTGAAAGCTTGAAAACAATATATTTAGAACAGAAACTAGAAATTGAAGGATTTTAAAACAATATAGTCGCTGATGTTTATTATTCCCTATTGTTTATTGCTGTGGAAAGATAGTGATGTTTGTACCAGCACCCGCTTGCTATGATAGAAACTGAGGTGCCGCAAGGTTTGAACTTAAACTTGCATTTACTAAATTCTTCAAAAATCATAATGCAAGACTCCTGTAAAAAAATTTTCCGCTTCAACATAATTGAACATTCTGGATCTTTTATTGTGGCTGAAAGCAAAAGATTAGTGCATGTGACACTGTGTGTATGATGGTTGAAAAAGCAGCAACACCAGCGATGATTACTGAACTTCTGAATGCACTGCGTGACAAGAAGTCTAGTGAGAGAAGAGTGCGTATGAAGCTCTCGTGGAAATGGTGAAAACATAGCAACAACTGAGATAGTATATTTACAGTACAACCCATACTCTGACGATGTGTTCATGTGTGTTTTACCCTCGCTCTTACTCGATGTAATGTCCTGAGTGTGTGCCTTTAGCGTCAATGGCATCCTTACCCATCAAACGATCTTTCAAGACCCAATACAAATTGTAACCGTATTTGCATATCTCTGCGTTAATGACTGCACTAGTATTATAGTACTTTCAAAATATAATAGAACTTTTATTTGGGACGATTTTTTTTCTTTCATTTCTTAGTGAAAAACGGTTCTTATCTACGAAGAAACAATACACTACAACAAAATAAACATGTCAAGCAACTCAATTGTGCTCAAGTCAAATGTTGCTTCTGCATCTATAGCCAAGAAAAGAAAAAGACCTTCGAGCAGATTTGTATTTGCCTGGTTATATGTAAATGCTAAGCAAAACAAGAGAATACAAATAGCTATAAAAGAGCTAACAAAAATAATACCATGCGCCCTGTCAACGGATGATTATAATGAATGCGAACAATGGTTAATGGCATATAATGGAGATCAAGAAATTTTTCTTATTGTTTCTAACAAATTTGGTGAACAGATTATCCCTCAGATTCATCATTTATCATCAATCATTGCAATTTATGTGCATTCTACAGGTCGTAAAATACACACTGATTGGACTCAAAACTATTCGAAACTGCGTAGCGTCATATCTGACACAAACAAACTAACACAAAAGTTATCAATGGATGTGAAAATTTTCAAACGCATCAAGGATTCAGCCGTGTCACGTCTATCTCAGAGTCGATCCAATAGTGATGCTACATCGTCTCACACTGAAGAAATAGTGAAGCAGAATAAAGAAAATTACACAGGTACATGCTGCCGTTCTTAATGCCAAAGGAAGACATCGAATCAACACTTTCTATAAGAATTTTTCAAAGAATCATCACTGAAATCTCTTGATACTTGGTAGCGCTCCTTTTATATTTGGCGAAATAATATGTACCGATCAAGTGGTTACTGACTAAGTAAAAAAAAAAAAAGAGCTGACTCTTTAGTTAGCACGTCCTGTTGCAGTAGTTCTTGAGGTTAGTCGAAACAAAGCGTACCTAGTTTATTTTCTCCAGATTACTTCTTATTTTGATCACTATTGAATCCGAAATATACAAACTCAACATTGCCTTATGAATTTCTCGGTTAGTTATTGAAAACTCAATAGAGATTTTTTTATCCTTATCTGAACTTTTCAAAAAGTAGGCATTGCTCACTTTTCATTGTGTTACTCGGAAGTTCTGTGTATCTCGCATTCTTCTAGAAGACTCGGCAGTGATGCTGTGAATGACATTCAGATACCAATATTATACTTTGTTTAGGTGGTCTCACGAGCTTTCAATATGTTGTTATCGATATATCAAAACGCCTAAATTCAACAGCTTTCGCTATGTTAATGTCTTTGGTTTCGCTGACAAAAAACTCCATATCTATTATTGATGACAGTACAGCCATTAATTTTGATGAGCTGCTTGCAAAGCCCACCTTGCTCTTTATAAGTAGCGAGCTTGCTGCTACAATTGAAAACCAACTAGAGCATGTCGAAGCTATTTTCATCCTGGAAAACGACAAAAACAAAGTTGATCATCGAAAACGATTTGAGACTGGTGAAGATCTTATCTTTCAGTTGGCTGACGAAATATATCGATGTTATAAAAAAGAAGGAAAAGAATTATTTCGATGTGATCAATTGTCACAAGCAAAAGAAAAAGAATACATTGCCAATCGAATCTATGATGAGTTAAAGAAAGCATACAAATCGGTGTCTACCGATAGCAAGAACACTGTTTGACATTATGACAACATTTTTCTCACTTACATTTTTGTGAAAGCATATGCGTCTCATAATATTTTTCTACAATTAAAGTTCTAATCCTTGCATCTTTTTATGTTTATTTCGAAAATTTAAAATACATTTCAAGTTTGAAACATTTTAGATGCAAACTTTTGATGATATTACATTCAATGGTAATTTATATACAACTAGGAGCTCTTTGGCACTTCTACTTTACGAACAAAATGGAGTAGCTATGGCTATTCCATTGCCTAATGCTAATCTAATGTCTTTTATTCGGGTTTTTGGTAATGCCAGACAATGTCGAGATCATATCGAGACAAATCGAAACCGTCGAAAAATGATCACACTCTTTGCTTATGATAAAAATATGCAAGAATGGTTGGGAAATAATGATGCAGATATACCACCTAATCTTCAAGAAATAAAAATTTTCTGCGGAGCTGATGATCAGCCATTTGTCGCTAGATGGGCAAGACGTCACATCCGACGATTCCAAAACGCTACATTCGAAATAATTAGTTGTGATAGACTCAATCATGAATTACTATTATTTGGTGTTAACTTCTTACGAAAACTGCATTCAGATTTTCGACCTCGTTCACGCTTACAAAGGCGTTCGTACCATAATTACAAAAAAATTTGTCATGCTTTAGCCAATTATTTCTGGCATGAAGCTAATAACGAGAATGTTTGAACTAACATTGATAGACAATATGTAGAAGCAGATAATTAGTTTAATATAGTTTTTTCTCCATTGTGACCTAGTATATTTGCATTGAATAGAAGTGGCTCTTATAAAGCCAGCTTAGAACGGCAAGTAGGGAAAATAAAACAAGTATACCATGAATATACTAACGAGGGAACATTCGCAAGTGTCACATCGCTTTTAAGTCGACCATACGCGCACTATGTATATCCTAACGATCTATGAATTCTCTGAAAAAAGCTCGTGTCGCTAGCTTATTATTGCTGAGATACTGCCTTTGTACGGTATGTTTAAGAAAAAGAGCTGTGGCCCGCTTCAGGTACACTTGAAAAACTGAATTTCGAGGGTGTGGGTGGGTCTGGGTGTGGGTGTGGGTGTGGGTGTGATGTGGGT